ATTGCTTTTTTTTTTTTTTTTTTTTTTACAAACAAAGAAGTATGAAACACTTCAAACGGCAACAAGAGATACGCTACACGATTCTACTACAACTTTCTAGAAGAGCTAAGAAGGTTAAAAAGAAGAATTTGGCTGGTGGGGCTCGAACAATCAAAGATCCCGAGCAGTTCAAGAACGCCATAGCTAACATTGTAGAAATAAGAGTCAATTTACTGTACTAATAACCACTGCATTTTTTAACTTTATACTTACACATTGTACCCACTCCCCTCTCTAATGCCTTTGGCCCTGAGGGTATATGAAATAAATAAAAATAATAAATAAACTCCGTGCCCCCGGAGTGGTAGCCGCGCGCAATGACATGTTAGCCATGTACGCTGCAGTTCGTATAAGGACAGGACGCGCGTTTAAAAGTAAATATATCACGTTCTAGCAACTCAGTCACTTCAAATTAATAAATATAATTTCAAAATTCACTCTGAATAAAAGCTGGTGATCAACACTATCCTCTCAATTACCCTCCCAAATCGCTAACCAGCATGCCATGCTAAGTTTCTAGGGCATATCTTATCTTCAAGGCTCGCCGACTTTTAGGAATCAAATATATTTTTCTCGCCGGCGCAACACGGCTTTTTGATTTTTTTTCCCTGTGAATCTCAGCTACTTACGACCTTCACGTTTCCTTGATGGTAGTTCCCAAGCTGATTGCATATTTCTTGATTTTTCCAAAGCATTCGATAAGTTGTAACATAAGCTACTACCGCATAAATTAAGTTCACTAAATCTTGATTCCAACAGAGTTTCTTGGATTCATGCTCCTTTAACTAACCGGTTTAAAATTTTTATTTGTAAAGGAAACTTCCTCACCTTTAGTTTCTGTAATGTCCGGGGTCCCTAAAGATTCTGTAGTGGCCTCTCTCGTTTTTTACTTATATTAACGACTTGCCTCCCTGTGTTTCATCCTCAATTTGTTCACTTGCCGATAACTGCGTTATCTATAGTGAGGTGAGTAATGATTCCGGATGTATATTTTATTCAATTTGATATTAACTGCCTGCTTGAGTAGCGTTACTTAAATAACAGAGAACTTAACACAGGTAATGAGAGTTTCTCGACATCCCAATGACTTGTGATTTTTCTAGCCAAGCTACACTTCTTAACAGCAGGTATCATCATACAAATACTTGCACGTTGGTATTTCTTCTAACCTTGTCTTGGGACATTCATATTCAATACATAACAACTGAATGGCAATCGAATGTTACGATTCATAAAACTAAACTTTACGTCCGTCCCCATGACTCTGAAGCTACTTCTGTACAAAGCTCCTGATCGCTCCAAACTGGAATATGCCTCCTCAATTTGGGACCCCGATATTGAAATAATATTACATGCAGTGAAAGAAATTCAAAATGAATATTTTCGCTTCGTACTTACTATCATCGCACTGCCAGCGTAAATTTTATTAAATGTAGTTTGAACCTGCCTAACATCCCAACACGCAGGGAACTCTCTCGTTTGTGACGATTTCACAAATTCTATAATAATCCTCCTTTACATGAAAAACTACTAAACTTCGTTTCACTTTGAGTTCAGACGGAGTCGACGCTATGAGCTGATGGGACAGAACAAACAGCGTCAAAAGCGCACTATCCATGGTGCTTTCTTCATTCTTTCTCTGCGTGTCGTGTTCTATCATCGGTGAACCAATCGTAAACAGCAGAGGCCAGCGGCTTGCACTTTTAACGCTGCTTGATTGGTGCCACTAACTCGTAGCATTAGCTGCGTCTGGACTTAAGCTGAAACCAAGTATAATACCTCGCTTATACATAGCACCGGGTCTCGATCAGCAACACAAGATAGGAGATAGGCGTACTATCGTGTAAAACTACGGCTTTTCACAATTCATTCCTATACCAAACTACGCCTTCTTGGAACCACCTTCCAGCGTCGCTGGGAACTTTATTTGGTGACGTCGCTTTTGAATTTGCCTTAACATTGACACTATTTCAGTGACTTAATACATATAATTATTGCATTTTTCTATTTGTTTTTGTTTGTTTTTCTATCTATAACTTTAACCCTCTAACCTCTGCAATGCCTCTGTGGCCTTAAGGGTATTTGAAGAAAAACATGAAAATATATATTGCCAGGACGTTTATCATGGTCTTATGTTGACACATGAGGCAAAAAGAGGGCATGCTGACGAAGTGACCGTTGGGGCGCCTGATCTGACGAAGAAGTATCCCGCACTAGCTCTGACTGGCGTGAGCCTCCCGCACTAGCTCTGACTGGCGTGAGCCTCCCGCACTAGCTCTGACTGGCGTGAGCCTCCCGCACTAGCTCTGACTGGCGTGAGCCTCCTGCACTCGTCCAGTATGTGCTTTGCCGGCCGGCTCGCGTAGCCCGCAGCCAGTACCATATGCCCCCATCTGCGAAAAGGACATCCTTGCCGTTCTCGTGGCGGCTGTAGGGTTTCATTCGTGTGACGTGGAGGACTTTGGAATTGCGGGTTCGGCCGTCAGTTGGTGGGTTGAGGAGCTGAACGCGGTGGTTGATGGGTACCGTCTGTTGGACGACGCGGTAGGGCCCTTTATAGCGTGGTAGAAACTTTTGGCGTAAATTAGTCTTGCGCAGGGGGAAAGCGACGAGGACGTCGTCTCCAGTGGAGTAGTTGACGTTGCGATAAACTTCGTCGTAGCGTATTTTTATTTCTGCCGTTGCTCTGATATGCGACAGTGGGCTAGCCGGCAGAATTTCTGGGTGTTTGAAATAGCGTCCGCCACAAATTTGTCTCAGTATTGAAGCTATCCCTAGGGAACGGTGGAATCCAGGGTGCAAGATGCGTCATGTCTATTGAAGCTATTCCTAAGAAAAGGTGGAATCTAGGGTAGAAGATGCTTCATGTCTATAGAGAAGATAGAAACGACAAAACCCCGTGCTATCTTGGCGTCCGCTGTTTTATGCGAATGTTATGAAGGGCATTATGCTAACTAAGTTGGTGTGATTTTCTGGTATGTACATTGCATTTATATTGGCTAATGGTTGATGGAACTGCTCGGTCAGTACATTTGTCTGAGTGTGATACGCGGTCGTGGTACGATGTGATGTTGCAGGCACTAAGTAACGCCTCCACGGGGGTAGACAGGAAGGACCGTCCGCGATCACTTATGAGATTACGTGGAGCACCGTGGTGGAGAACCACCCGCATAAGCAGGAACTTAGCAATTTCGGGTGCTGTGGCGTTGTGAAGGGCCGCAGTTTTGAGGTAATGTGTTTGATGGATGATAGCCGCAATTATCCAGATGTTCTGGGAGGTGTATGTCGGAAGGAATCCAAAGAGGTAAACTCCCACAGCGTCGAATGGTAAATTAGTTGGAGCTATATGTTGGAGAAGTCCTGGAGGAGACGACGTGTGACGCTTTTGATGCTGGCAGGGGTGGAAACTTCTGACGTACTTTCGTACGGTATACATTCCGAGCCAAAAGAGCCGATGTCAAACTCTTGTGTAGGTTTTTCGGAAATCCAAGATGAACGGCAGTGGGGTAATCGTCTAGATGTTATATTATTTCTAGTCGGAGGCGTTGAGGGATGACCAGAAGCCAACTGCTTACCTTGTTGGTCATACATTTAACGAGACAACATCCCGTCAATAGTTTGAAAAACCATGACGCTTTAATAATAAAACGTAAATTTTGGGGCGGATTGGTGACATTAAAGTGGGAGATTATTCGATTTATCCACGGATCTGCACGCTGCTTGAGAGACAAAATCTTGCAACAAATAGGAGCGATTGAGGATGTGGTGTCTGTGTCAGGTGCAACTCTAGCAGTGTTAAAAAGAAGTGGACACCGAGAGACGGAATTAGCGCCTTGATGTTTTCCACTACTTTTGTGTTCAATATAAAATTCCTACTCAAGGAGTTTTAGCGGCCATCGTCTGAGACGTCCGGTTAGTTCCTAAGGGTTGTAAGCCAGCAGAAAGTGTGGTGGTCTGTTACCACTTCGACGTATTTTTCATAGAGTTGTGGTCGGAATTTGAAAATATCTCAGACTACGGCAAGAGCTATAAGAAGTAACTTGTTCGTTCGGCCAATATTTTTTTTTTATATTTTAATAGCTCAGCGCCAAGGACAAAGCCACTTGCATCAGTATTAATAATTGTAGTAGCAAAAGGGTCAAAGTGGCCTAAAATTGGCAGAGTTGTGAGGATTGACTCCAAGAGGGTAAATGTATGCAGGTATTGATTGGACCTTTGCAACAACGCGGCTTTTTTGGTAGTAATTAGTGGAAGGGGCTTGCTATTTTGGCGAAGTTACAAACACAACGACGGAAGTATGAGCAAATCCCAATAAAACCGTGAAGTTGTTTAATGTTTACGGTGTTTAGAGTAGTCGGCCACTAATCAAACTTTGCCAGTATCAGTGCCGTTTCCTACTGCATTTAAAATGGGACCGAGAACATTTATCTCCTCACCAGCAAATCATTATTTCTTTGTGTTGATCTTGAGACCGGTGTTTCGGAGACATGAAAGACCTGCTGAGAGTAAGTGGAGGTGATCGAAAAAGTTTTTTTTTTTTTTAAATTGTATTGTTGTCTAAATAACATAAACAAGTTTTCCACTTGAGACCTCTTAGGAAAGAGTCAATTATGCGTTCAAAGGTAGCTGGTGCGTAACAGAGCCCGAAAGGCATTACGTTAAATTCATATAAATTATCCGGTGTGGTAAAAGCTGTTTTGCTTTGTCTTATTCGGCTACCGGTATGCATTCGGCTACCGGTATTGATATTAGCTGTGTAAGTCTCGCCTGGCTATTGTACGTGAAGGTTGTGGCAATATTCTACTGTGTGGAGGCGATTTTCAGGCCTGCCGTATATTTCCTTAGCACAGGCTGTAAACGCTTCCCGTGTGTGCCACTCCGTCTCCTGATTTAGATACCAAGTTGTGGCATCATCCGTGAAGTACAATATATTGTTGGCCAATTTACTGGCGTTAACCTACCGGTTGTAAGGGCTAATCTGCACGTAGCAGTCTAGCCAGTCCTTGATTTTTTTCATCTTCTAGAGTCTGGACCATAGAAGACTTTCGAAACCTTTTAGCACGAGGATGGATGTCAAATGGGCCAAAACTGTGGAGGCTGTATTGGGTTGCAACCTCCGGCCGTGGGTGTGATGACGGCGGGTGAGAGAGGTCGAGAGATGCCAGAGGGTGGCGAGTGTGCGGCCGACGTACTGGGCTGAGATAGAATGCCATTACGAAGTCCCGTCGTCCTACCTGAGGGTCAAGAAAAAAAATCGGAGCCCGCATCTCCCCGAGGATGTCACGACGTTTATTGCGCTCCTATGTTGGCACTCGATGCAAAGACAGGGCATGCTGATGACGTGACCATTGCGGCGTTTGCTCTGGCGAGGAGGTATCTGGCCTAGCTCTGGCTGGCTATAGAGCCTTCTGCGCTCGTCCCGCGTGCTGTGCAGGCCGGCTTGCATTGCATACTCCGGTGCCTTTAACAATATGAATCATGAATGTTTAAACCTTCTCTAAAGTTAATTCAGTGAATTATGAATTTTTTTATTCTAGACTTTTACAATTTCATAGTCAGTAATCCTCAATTTATATTAATCTGCACTAAAATCATACACTAAGTAAAAGCATCATGATGAATTGAGGTGTTGGTTGTCACAATATGCCACTTTTTAGATATCATAAATTCAATACCGACAAATGTTGGTCCTGTGTTGTTTTTAAATAGTACTGGATCTGCGTTGTTAAACATGGCATTTAAAGAGCAGTAAGAAGAGAAACAAATAGTTGCTAAAAAAAAACCTTCCCAAAATTGAAGAAAACTCGGAACGCGGCAAATTCTATTTTTTATTTTAAAAAGTTATTTTTTGTTCGTTTGTATTTTTTTTAAGAAACGATGATTTGCACGTTGCACAACGGGGATACAAAAGTCTCGTTAAGGGAATATTTGCGACTTTCGTATCACAACTTCCTGGTGTATTTTCTATCTTTAATACATGGTATGGAACTATATTTTCATGTTCACAAATGCCTTTTTTGCAAAAGTGTTTATATGAAAGGTAACATCCGGTCTCTAATCCTGACTTACCTCGTGATAAATCACCTTGACAACCGGTGGAGTTGAAATGGCCATTCCGGAGATCGGTTTGAGCAGGACCTGCAAGTACAGCGCAAAACACGTGGAGTTTTCTTAGCAATTAGGCACTGATGAAACGCAAGACGCAGTAGGATTCGGGCCTCTTAATATTGTTCCGCAACCACCGAGACTGAAGCAGTCGATACGATCGAGGAAAGAATAATTAAGAATTAAGCTCTGCACTGAGTTTCTGATGCGGTCAATGGATGTAGTGTCGTATATTTTTTGGATATCAGAATATTTGAACTTGTGCGAAGATCCTGATTCCGAGCGCGGTAGTGCATTGTTCGCAAAAGGTTAATTCGAACTCTAAACCAGTTTTCCGAGTGAAAAAAAAGGATAGGTATAAACAATGCTTGGTCCAATAAACGCATATGATCAAACAACATATCAAAAGAACATATAGGAACCTCACAAGAATATATAAGATCAATATAAGATTAGACAACAAGTTATAAGAAAATTATGCGTTTCTCATACCATCTAATATATTCTTGCGTGGTTCTTACATGTTCTCATGTGATTTTACTTGATAATATGCTTTTATTCGACAGTAAAATGTTTTATACATATAGGTCTTTTCAAAAAGGTTAAAGTGGATCTGAAGAAATCGTGCACCAATTTCATCACAATTTAGAATAGCACACGTGGTTCACTCTACAGTTACTAAGATCATAAGAAAAGCAGCACAAAAAATTAGGAGAACACAATAAGAACATCGTCTCTGACCGCTGCCTCCGATTGACGAAATCGTGCTTTCTTTTTTTTCTATTTTTTGTGAACGAGGTAAAGTGTATTGGAGTATACTTTCACTCCAACCTTTAGCCAGCTAGCAGCACCTACGTAGTAAATCACAGCACAATACGTTTAGAAACCGGTTTTGACGAACCGTCTTAACTGGTTTCTGAGCGTTAGTGTACATTCTGTGGAGTAATGTAGAATCATTTTTTTAGTGAAATACACGAATCAAAGCGGACTACTTCTTTCATAATTACCTTCGCGAAGCATGATTGAGCAGCGGTTTGGATCCCGAAGTTTCAGTAGTTGATATCACCGCGGAAACACGATAATCGAATAGTGTCACGGATTGGGCACTGCGTAAGCATTTTATCTGGCTTGGTAGCATTTGAGTCCATGAATGATATTCAGGTAGTTGCTCGCATTATTGACGGCTACAGCCAAACTCTGTTGATGTGTGAAGCACAGCACGTTCCCTATGTATTGTCAAGTGCAGCGCGTTTCTAAGATAACATTCATAACGTATACTCGGCTCCAGATAATGTAGCCGATTGCTCGGAAAGCAAGTTGAGGGATATCTCTAATTTTTTTTTTTATATTGCCGCACGCGTTTCCGGGCAATCTCGCCCGTGACCGAATGGTTATTGTGATAGGCTCCCACGTAAAGGGTCGAAGTTGGAAGCCTGGTAGCGGATGAACCGTTTTGCTACTTCTGTAAAATATCGCGTTTTGGTAAATTCGAGAACCCTGTTGGGGGGCTTGTTCGAGATACGAATTTTCTACGCACCGAACATTCTACGCCGATTATTCCAGAAGGCCACGCGTGTACATAAGGCTGTGGCGAGCAGGAGTCAATCTTGCTCTTGCGCTTAAACCTGCTGCCACGCCCACCTCGACGTCGGCAACGCCCTGTTGTTATATTATGCTTTCTTTTGGTTTGGCACATGCTCCCCACATTAAAGGCCTAGTTTTTTTTTCAGTTATTCGCCGCCTCATCTTGTGTCATCCCTGACGTTTTGGTAGAGGTGCGGAGTAACGCATGTTCCTGCAGCGTACCCCTCCGAAGGCCCGCAGTGCAAGTACGATCCCAAGCTCACAAAGAGCCGACAAAGAGAAGACCGAGGCCCGATCAAGTCGCCGCACCCAAGACCTGCCCTCGGAAGGAAGACGACGAAGGGGGCCAAACACCAAGATGCCCGGCACATGGGCTCCCAACTTGAAGGCCGCAGTTTGCGTTTTTCTTGTGATATCGCCATTGGAATTAGTACCACCGGCTGCCTAACATCAATACCGATGGAGTGACACCAATTTTATCGCAATCGGACTGACCATTCGTTCAAAGATGGCACTTGAAGACCGGATCAAGCCGCCTTTAGAATCTAGGCCTAACCTCGAAACGGCGCTGGCGGCTGCGGCTGCGGCTGCAGCTGCCATGCCGAAGCCCCCGGTGAACGATCAATCCCCAGCAGTGATGGAGCCAAATCCCAACGACGATACAATAGAATTCAACGAGTTAAGTGGCCGTACGGCATCCCACCTCGGACCGTGGAAGCAAATGCTCAGCGACAGACGTAGAGCCAAGCAGCAAGCCTTTTCAATGACACGCAGCCGGCGCCCGGTAAGCCTAACAGCTCTCTTCTCGTTTCGCGAGCCCCCAGACTCCCCGACACCGATTATAAACTCATATACCACCCGAGAGACGGACTACGCATCGCGGCTTGGAGCGACCGACAACTTACAGCAAGCATACAAAAAGCCAGCCGAATACCCGAAGGAGCATTCAACCAACGCGTTTTAATTCAAGTGCAAGCAGTGCAAACCCTCATCGTGGCCAGCACCCTTTACGATACCTATGCCGACGCCTTCAGCGACGTCACGTCGCTACAACTGGATGACGCAACTTATGAGATCTCGCCGTACGTTAAGCCTTCCCCCGCAACAGTACGGGGAGTAATACACGGCCTAGACACCGGAACCACAACGGAGCAGCTCCCGAACATCATTGTCTCTCCGGGACATAAAATGCGGTAGGCAAAATGCTGAAAAAGTCCACATCTGAAGTTGTGACATTTGAGGGCCCGCACGTCCCTTTCTGCATCCATGATCACGGATTGTACACTCGCTGCCGCCCATACAGACACTCTATCCAGTGTTGCTCGCTCTGTGGTGACATTGGGCACAGACGGGACATCTTCCCTATTGGCAATCAGGTCAGCTGAACGCGGAAAAAACAAGAACACGCAGGAAAGAACACGAAGGAAAGGACGAAAGAACACGAAGGAAAGGAAAGGAACTAGCTCAGCTAAAACCCGTAACTCATCTTCCCTAATTCGGAGGTGACTGTGTGCGAGCGGTGTCATGAGCGAAACCCCTCGCCGGAACACACGTGCACCCCAAAATGTAAGCTGCGTGGACTCGACCACCTGACTGCTAGCAAAGACTGCCTTAAGAAGCTCTGCCCACCACCGCCGCCACTGCACATCCGGGAGCGCCTTGTTCAGACTACGCCGACGTTCCAGCGGCAGCCTCAGCACCAGGTCCCAGCAGCTCACCCACCACCTCCCCCGCAACCGCAGGTCCACACCCAACGACACCACTTTTTTTCGCAACAAGGAAGCTGGTCCGGAGTTGTACCCCCCCCCCCCTTTTTAGAAACGGCCCCGAACGATTTCTCCCCATTGCCCGCACAGTTAGCTTCTGTGCAAGAAAATAATAGCTGCATCAAAATAGTAGAACGGGAGAATGCGCTACTAAGAAAACAACTTGAACTGCAAGTCGAACGCACCGAGAAGTTAGAACGTCGCACAGAAGAGCTAATGATCCACTTAGATACAATCACGAATGCACCGGCGCAGAATACTGTGCATGCAACGCCAACTCGGCAACCAACGCAACAGCCCTCCACGTTCCCAACCCTACAAAATATCCGAAGGCTCGATAGATTAATTCACGACCTTATCCAAACAATTGAACGCCGTATCGATGCGATTGAAAAAAGGCTGGAAGCCACCGGGACAGTCAAGCGCAAGACGCAAAAGAAGACCAAGCAACCAGCCCCCAGTGACCCACCCAGAACTATGCCCTCCGACGATGCATGGGAACAGTACCAAAGTGGTGAACCCCAAGGGGTCTCCCCCAACACCACTGATGATTTGGCAATGG